CGCAGCGCCGGGCGGGCCTCGGGGTCCCGGGAGGAGGAGCGCACCGAAGCGCTGGTCCCCGGCAGGCGTCGGCGGCCTCACCTGGCGTGGGCGGTGGTTTGACGTGTCGCCGCCCAGAACTTCCCCGCGAATCTTCCTGTGACCGGGATTTACATTAAACCGGAAAGAAAGGGCCGACCTTTGGACGCGTCAAAACACATTTTCTGATGGGCATCTTCCCACGAAGCCGAGAGGATGGTGTGAAGCGCTGGGCGTGCCCGTCACCCCGCTCCGTCCGTGACCCGTCGGCGGCCGGACTTGGCCCTCCTCCCCGGGTTAAGTGGAAGCATGTCCCCCCAGACAAATCATTCCATCTCCGTTACATCTTCCCACGGCTTCGCGCGGGTGCGGGATGACGCCTCCCGAGGGTTGTGCGAAACCGGGCACACGTGAAGGTGCGGACAGCGCCAGTTTAGTTGGTGCGACGGGAATGTGGGCGAGTTCTCCCACCGGGCAGACTTGAACTGTCCTCTGCTCAGATTTTGCAAAATCACGGAAAACAAAGGTACCCAATAATCTAGTCTCGACAGTCGCATTATTGGTTTTGGGCGCCAAGAACCGTCCTAATAGCCCTGACCGGTGTGGCTCAGTGGATAGAGCGTCGGCCTGCGGGCTGAAGGGTCCCAGGTTCGATTCCGGTCAAGGGCATGTACCTTGGTGGCGGGCACATCCCCAGTGGGGGGTGTGCAGGAAGCAGCTGATCGATGTTTCTCATCAATGTTTCTAACTCTATCCCTCTCCCTTCCTCTCTGCAAAAAATCAATAAGATATATATTTTTTAAAAAAGAATAGTACTAATAATTTGCATTTAAGGAGCTCTTGATAGGTATGAAGCACTTTGAAATGGTTTCCACCTGTTGGTTTAATTTTTACAACAGCCGCGTGAAGTACGCATTTCATTTTACAGAGAAAGGGGAAAGGCTTAGAGAGGTTAAGCAGTTTGCTTAAGGTCTTTCCTGATGTAAGGGGGTGGGGCACACCTGGTATGTAGGATGCTAAACCTGGTCACCGCAACGTCCTTGCTCTTTTAACCATAATTGAATGACTTAAGAATTGTGGAACAATGTAACTGTGGAAAATTATTTTCATTGAGTTACAAATCCATAATGGGGTGTGTGTGTGGGGGGGGGGGACCCTGGAAATTTACATGAGTACAATAGCAGTACAGTGGGGCCTTGACTTACGAGTTAATTCGTTCAGAGACCGAGCTCGTTAAGGAGCTCGTTAACTCAAATTACTCTATCAACTCAATGCAAAAAATCGGAGGAGAGACAGCTGGTATCTCAAAAAACTCGTTAGTCGGGACTCTCGTAAGTCAAGGCTTCACTGTATAGGCATTTTGGTTTCTTTGAAACTGTAAAATGTTAATACAATTGAATTTAAAGTTATGAGCAACATATATAGGTGTAGTTCAGTAAGTACAAGTGTTTGTTTTCCCCCCTGTATTGTATATGCCAGTAAAAGGGGCATGGGAAGGGGGTAAAAATATGTACATCAGTGAATAGTCTCTACTTTCTTTTGGCACTTAGCATATATTGGCTATTTATCCTGAGTACTTTCATCTGTATCCCTCATCTTTCCAATCTTCTAAGACAGAATCTTCACCCAAACAATGTTAGAGGAGTAAGGAATTAGATACAGCTGGTCTTATTCAGAGGGCTGTAGAGAAGACCTGTGGAATTGGAGTTTAGGATTCCTACTGTAGGGGAGTAATTCAGAAGTCTAGAAGTCAGATTAGGAATTTGAGCAAAGAAGTGACCTGATAACAGCAATCTCCGCTGAGAAGTGAGTTTGACCTGGTGCATATTAAAGAAATTGATGTGGGTAACTGGTGAACTTATGGATATAAGCAAAGGAATGGAGGGGGGTAAAACCAGTCTGAAAAAGAGAAGAAAAGACAGCATGATACAGTGCAGGAATTTCTGAAATACTGGTAAACTTTATTTTCCATAGGTTTGCTTTCTTGGGCAGTCTTGGTGATGAGTATTATTACGGTATCACTGCTCTTTGAAAAGCTAACTACTGCACTGCTATTTAAGTATTCTTTTATATGTTTATTGTGTGCTATTGATACAAATTACACAAGTTAGGTAAGCAACAAAAATGATACTTTAATCCAATCCCATCATTTAAGGATAAACCACTAACCATGTTCTAGTCCAGGGTTGGGCAAACTTTTTGACTCGAGGGCCACAATGTGTTCTTAAATGCGACCGGAGGGCCGGAACAAAAGCATGGATGGAGTGTTCGTGTGAACTAATATAAATTCAAAGTAAACATCATTACATAAAAGGGTACAGTCTTTTTTTTTTTTTTTAGTTTTATTCATTTCAAACTGGCCGGATCCGGCCCGCGGGTCGTAGTTTGCCCACGGCTGCTTTAGTCACTAGGCTAGTGCATGCTCTAGACTAGGGTTTGGCAAACTGATCTGAGGCCTAAACTGACCAGAAGCCTGTTTTTGTATGAACTGTGAGGTGAGAGTGGGTTTTACATTTGTAAGGGGTTGGAGAGAAAATTTTAAAGACTGTTTTGTGACATAAGAAAATTATATGAAATCAAATTTTAGTATCCATAAATGATTTTAAAAATACAGCCACACTCATTTATATACGGCCTTTGGCTACTTTTTTTAGGAGGGCAGAGTTGAGTAGGTTGTGACAGAGACCCAAAAACCTAAAATGTTTATTATTTGGCCCTTTACAGAAAATGTGCTAGCTCCTGTTCTGGACCTTTTTAATGAATGTGCCTATATACTTTTTTTTTAAGGAATAAAAAAGATTATAATCTGGATTATATATTGACTTTTTTTTAGACTTAAAACAGGTTTTTAAGTTTGCTAAGTCTTTCATTTGCATCCCTTATCTTTCCAATTTTATGCTACTTATAAGACAGAAACTTGATCCAACAGTGTTAGATTAAGAAATATAATCAGCTGGGTTTATTCAGAGGGCAGTAGAGAAGACCTGGTAAATTGGGATTTAGGATTTCTAGTGTAGAAGAATGATTCAGAAGCCTAGAAGTAAGGTTAGATTCATTGGTATGAATGAGGTGTATTTAAACAATCCTCTTTTGTTAGATATTTTTGTTTCTTTTCTAATTTGAAACAGTTATTCATAATATTTGAGAGGACAGCTTTTTTTCTTTTTTAAAAATATATTTGTATTGATTTCAGAGAGGAAGGGAGAGGGAGAGATAAAATGAAACATCAATGATGAGAGAGAATCATTGATTGGCTGCCTCCTGCACGCACCACACTGGGGATCGAGCCCACAACCCGAGCATGTGCCCTTGACTCGACTCGAACATGGGACCTCTTACTCTATCCACTGAGCCAAACCAGCTAGGGCAAGAGGACAGATTTTTCTCTTCAGATTTTTGTGTGTCAGGTTATTTATGACAAATTTCTAGAAGTGAAATTGCTTTTATGTACATACTAGTGTCCCGGTGCACGAAATTCTTGCATGGGTGGGGTACCTAGGCCTGGCCGGCAATGAGGACCAATTGGGGCCTTCTCGCTGGGGCCTTCCTTCGTTTTGCACCACCCCCTGGTGGTCACATGTCATAGCAAGTGATTTAACTCCCAGTTTCCCAGTCAGACTCTCAAGGGGACACTTTGCATATTAGCCTTTTATATATACAGTAGGTCCTTGGGTTACGTCGGAGATCCGTTCCTACAGCGCGATGTAACGTGATTTTCACCGTAAATTGGAACCCAACTACCTAAGCACCTATGTCACTCACATGGAACATATACACAGCAGTAATGAAGTGAAACAGTAAAAAAAATTTAAAAGAAAGATAACAATTCCTGACCTTTACTTGTGGTAAATAATAAAAACATAAAGCACATATGCACATATGTCAAAATGCCGGAAAAATTTTTTTTAATAAATGGAGATGGCAACGTAACCACGAAACGAACGTACATCGAGTCCGACATAACCCGAGGACTGTCTTTATAGATTGTTAGGTTGCCCTCCAGAAAGGTTGTACTTTGCCCATGCCTTTACCAATATTGAGGTGTCTCCCTTATCATCTTTGCCAATTTGATGGGGAAAAGAGAGATACATTTTAATTAACATTTCTTTGGTTAGTAGTGAGATCACTAAACATATTTATTGTCTATTTGTGTTTCCACTTATAAAACGCCTGCTCATGTCTTTTTCCTTTTCCCATTGGGTTTCTGGTCTTTTACTTTTTGAGTTGCAAGTACTTTATAAACATTAGGGATAATAATTATTTGTTATGTGGAAGTGGCAAGTGGGTTTCTCCATTGCTCACCTATTTTCTCTTAAGTGCTGCATAATGGCTAATCAAATTTGTGTATCAGCTAGGAGAGCACTCAGGGCTGCAGTTTGATATTACTTAATTAATTTCTACAACTGGATGTGACTATTATAAGTTGGTTGTACATTAAGATATTAGAAGTCAGACAACTTAAATAGGAAGTTGTATCAAATTAAATCTCCATTACTGCAAAAAATAAAAATTGTAAATCTTTATAACTACCTATACTAATAAAAGGGTAATATGCTAATCAGATTGG